CGCCCGCCCTCCCTGCCCCCCCTCTCCACCTCCTGGCCTCTCTCTCCCTGCCCCAAATAAATAAATGTTAAATAAATAAAAATTTAAATTAAAAATAAAATGAACTGAATAAAAATGAACATAGAACATCTCAAAATCTGTAGAATGCAGCTGTAGCAGTGCTGGGAGGGACATTTATAGCCCTATGTGCTTACCTTAGAAAAAAGATCTCAAATCAATAACCTAAGTTACCACATCAAGAAACTAGAAAAGGAAGAACAAATAAGTCCGAAGCAAGCAGAAATCAGTGAAATTGTAAACAAGAAAACAACAAAGGAAATTTATTAAGCCAAAAGCTGGTTCTTAAAAAATACCAATACAATTGGTAAATCTTCAACAAAATTGACAAAGATAAAAAGAGGACACAAACCACTAACCTCAGGAATAGGGGACATCACTATGGCAATTAAAAGGATAACAAGTGAGCACTGGAAGCACCTTTACACTCCCAATTCAACAGCTCAGAGGAAATTCCTTGAAAACCACAAATTACCAAAACTCAACCAAGATGAAATAGATAACCTGAATAACCATTAATAAAATTGGATTCTTAATTAAAAAGTTGCTGAGGGATTCACTGTAGGGGTTCATCCTACATTTGAAGAATAATTAACACCAATTTTACACATTCTCTTCCAGAAAATACAAGAGGAGGCAATATTTCTGATTCATTTTATGAGGTCTGTATTTATCTGATACCAAAACCAAACAAAGACAGTATACAACAAACTACAGACCAATATCTCTCATGAATGTAGATGCAAAATATTAACATGTCCAGCAATATATAAAATTACCTATACACAACACCAGTGGAATTTATTCCAGATCTACATGGCTAGTCCTGTAATCAAAAACCAATCAAGGTTATCCATATCAACAGTCTGAAGAAGAAAATTCATATAAATGCAGAAATGCATTCAACAAAACTCATCACCCATTTATGAAAAAACACTCATCAAAGATAAGAGGGAGAACTTTCTCAACTTGATCAACTTCCTCACCTATAGAAAACCTAACCGTAACATCATACTTAGTAGTGAAATACTGAGTGCTTTCCCTGTTAAGACTAGGAGCAGGGCAAGGATGCCTGCTCTCATCACTCCTACTTAACCCAATACTGGAAGTTCTGTTTAGCACAATAAAGTAAAAGGAAATAAAAGGGCATATAGATTAGAAAGGAAGAAAGAAATCTGGCTCTCTTTGCAGATGACATGATTGTCTATATAGAAAATTCCGAGGAATCTACCAAGGGAAAAAAAAAACAAAAAAACCTTCCTGGAACTAATAAGTAATTTCAGCAAAGTCACAGGATGGAGTTCACTGCATGTCCATACACTAACAGTGACACTATTTTAATAAAAGTCCTGTACATAAATGTTTGTAACTGTAGCAGGCGAATGGTGAAACTGTGGTTAGAGCTGTACCATGGAATATCTGGCATATCATCAGCAGTCAAAAGGAACTAACTACTGATGCATACAACAACACCAGTTGTTGTAACATCTCAAAAGCATTATGCTGGGTGAAAGAAGCCAGACAGAAAAGGTAACATACTGTATGATCCATTTACATAATAGTCTTGAAATAATATTATAGGGATGGAGAGCAGATTAGTGGTTGCCAGAGATTTAGGGATTAGGAAAGGAAGGAAGGGAGGGTGGGGTGGCTATAAAAGGGTAACAGGAGGGAGCCTGTGTTAATGGAACATTGATCTGTCCTGATTGCTAGTAGTGGTTACATAAAGCTCCACATGCGAAAATTGCATGGCACCGCATATGTGCGCACGTGCACACGCACACACTCACACAAATGAGTGCTGCATGTAGAACTGGAAACGTCTGAGCAAGCTCTATGGGTTGTACCAGTATCAGTTTCCTGGTTTTGATAGAGTAATGTGCTAATGCAGGGTGTCAGCGCTGGGAGAAGCTGGAGGAAGTGTACACAGGACCTCCCTGTACGTTTCTTTGCAACTTTTAATCGATATAATTTCTTCAAAATGATGTTTTAAAATGTTTAAAATAAAGCCTCCTGCCCTCTTAATTCTGTGCCCCATTCCCCCTTCCCCAAATTAAGGTGTTTTTAGAATGCATGCACAAGTGTATTTGCATTAGAAATCTATTTTGCCCCCTTCCTTTCTCTAGACAGATGGTTTCATGTTGCCTTCCTATTCTGCACCTTCCTTTTTTCTTCACTTAATAGAGATGATTCCGTATCGGTCATGCTTTATGTTTTCAGATGCTGAGATTATCTGATACTTTGCTGTGATGCTTTGACCACTTTTCTATTAACAGACTTTGGCTGTTTCCATTTTGTGCTGTTAGGAACAATGCTCTGATGAAAGGCCTTCTACATTTGCCATTTTGCTGCTGTGTGAATATATCTCTAAGATAAATTTCTGGAAATTGAATTTCTGGATTAGAATTTACAGTACAGTTTTCAGAGACACTGGTAGATTGCCCTGCATAGGAACTGTACCATTCCACACGTTCACCAGCCCCAGGTATCCTCATATTATCCCCATTGGCTGTTTTCACATTTTAGGACTTTTGACAATATGTTAGGTTAAAAATGGCATGTCAGTGTGGTTTTAATTTTCATTTCTCTGAAAAATTGGGCATCTTTTATTTTCAATTTGTATTTCAGTTTGTATTTCTTTTTCTGTAAACTGTGTTCATATCCTTTGGGCCATTTTTCCAGTGGGTTATTGGCTTTTGTAGAAGTTAACGATTTGTAGGAGTATTTTATATATAATAAGCTCATTGTCTTTGATGTGAGGTTCAAAATTTTTTTCCTGTTTATCATTTGCCTTTTGGCTTTTCTTCTTTTCTTTCTTTCTTTTTTGTGGTCGTTGAAGTTTTTGAAACTTTTTCCTTAGACTGATCTTCTTTGGCTTCTGGATTTTGTGCCAGTTAGAAAGGTCTTTCCCACACCCAGGTTATAAATTTCATGGTATTTTAATGCTTTCAGGTGTAGCCCTATTGAAATCTGGAATTACGTCCCCACAGTGGTACTGCTGGGCATATAGCCTTAGGTGGTAGACTATTTCTGGCCTTGGGTCTGATTTCATGGGTCTCCTCGGCCTTATTGGAAATCTGGGTCACTGCTAGAACCAGATCAAGTTAATCTCACATCCTCCATAAAGTGGTGCTTTACAGGGAAAGGAAATAAGGGGAGGACATTGGGTGATCTTCTGGCTCTTATCCCATCTTTCAGCAACCTTTATTCCAAGAGATAAACTCTAGTAGAAGAGGGTTTTGTCCCCTGTGTGCTCCGGGAGTTAGTGGTTGGGTGACAGAGCCCCTTTGCTGGTCTCCAGGGAAGGGAAACCAAACTTCAAGGGCCATTTCCTTCCATTGGTCATCTGTGCAAATCCCACTTAGGTTGCTTCTCCACAGGGACAGGCTGCCTGAATCTGTGGAATCTGAAACGGTCCTGACACAATGAGAGGAACTCGGGAGTCTTATCCACATTTCAGAGCACAGCCCTGTGGATTTTGTTCAGATTGAAGTGCTAGTCAGTGTCTGTCTCCACTAAGACTTGCATTTTCGAAATGGGTATGAAAAACATTTGCTTAGCATAACTGTTCCCCCTCTTAGGAATAAGTAAGCCTGAAGAAGGACGGCCTGCTGGGAGTGTGACCGGAAATGACATCACTGCCCCTCCAAACAAGGAGCTCCCACCAAGCCCAGAGAAGAAAACAAAGGTAGGTGCCGGAATGCTGGGTTCTCTTCTACCAATATCATTTTTTAAAACCGTACCTTCTGCTACTGTTGCTTGGATTGTGAATGGAATTTCTTTTTTCTGAGCTATTAGTAGGTCCTTCCCCAGTTTTGGACCTTCTTAGAAAATATTTTATGTTCCTATTTTACCATAGTAGCCTGACTCAACCCTTAAAATCTCTTCCCTTGACCCCATTATCTTGAATATGTGTAGAAATATTCTGTAGAGGGTGTTTCTGCTTCCCTTAACAACAACAATAAAGGGATTTGCAAAACTATTTGGAAATAAATTCTGCAATCTGCATTCATGAAAAGGGAAAACAGATTTTTAAGGTGGATCAAGGCTTCACACACTTACTGGTACTTACTGCAGAGTAGAAATGCCACACTTCAGTGTGGTCCTAAAACGATGCTGATGTTGCCTCATCAAGGTACAAATAATAACAGCTTAATCACCTGCTGGTGGCTTTTCTTCCTAAAACTATTATAGCAGCCACCAAAAGCTACTTAATTGTTTAAAGCTGTCACTGAATTTAAGTCTTCAGGTGCCAAACTGCTAGAATTTGTGAGACAGTAAGAATGAATTCCCAGTTTTCTTTCTCTCATGGTTTCTTTCCACTATTAACCAAGCTCAGAAGAACGGAATGCTGCTTTTCAGTTGCATAGATCCTCATTGCTTATAATTTTACTTTGAATTGTGCAATTTATACTTTTTTTTTTAATTTGTTTTTATTTTTGTTTGTGTGTTTGATGTTGACCTTTAAAAAAAAAAAAAACACCACCAACAAATCAACTTAAAGCCTTTGGCCACCACTCAACCTGCAAAGACTTCAACATCGAAAGCCAAAACTCAGCCCACTCCTCTCCCCAAGCAGCCGGCTCCCGCCACCTTTGGTGGGTCGAATAAAAAACCCATGAGCCTCGCTGCGGGCTTAGTGCCGGCTGCCCCGCCCAAACGCCCTGCCGCCACCACTGCCAGGCCTTCCACCTTACCTTCAAAAGACGCAAAACCTAAGGTAAGTGGCCACCTAAGCACTCTGCCAGGGAAAAGTTCTCCCCTTTGAGTGTCCGATCGGCTCTCATTGCTCCCAGACAGTGGAATCAAGCTGCTGGAATTGGGGGAAGTGGGGAAAGGCGACTTGAAAATCATTTGGGGCCCAGGATGCAGCCATAACATCTGAAGGCCTTTCAGACCTTGTACCTTTCCCTGCCCCTGCCTGGAGGCAATACTGCATCTGCTTGGGTTTCTTTTCCTTTCTCCCAGCCCCTCCTGCTCTTCACGGTTTGAACACTTGTTAGCCAGTTTGCCCCACTCCACACCCCGTTAGATTAACCCCTTTTTGGTAGAATTCTCCCATCGAATTCCTAAAATTTGGTTTCTTGTCTTTCTCTTTAATCCTCCTACAGAAGTGATTTTTACCCATTACTTTTTTGGATAAAGCTCTTCTGACTGATCTCTGTAGGTTCCAACATCATGTGACAACTTCCTTTGCTTTTGACATTGGGCCCCCTCTCTCCCTCTGCAGTTTTCCAGTTTTTCAGGTCACCCACATTATTGCCTAGAAATCAGTCAATTTGGGCAGCAGTGGCTTCACAGGATTGTCCTCGAAGGGCAGATGGCGTCTGTGGCTTTCTTCCTTAACATTTTGTTTTATTTGGTAGTGTATCAATCTAATCTTGTAAAGAAAATTGGTGGAACCTAGGAATTGTAGAATAGGCTGGAACCTTGGCCAAGAAATTGCTATGGCCAAGAATTTCTATGAGAAATCCTATCATAGATTAAGAATGATAAAATCTCATGAAGCTTTCTGACCCTGATTTACCCAGTTGGCTGCTTTTCTTAACTGTTAGAAGACAATTTATTTGCATAGGCAGAGGGAAAGGCACCTGGGTGGCTCAGTTGGTTAAGTGTCTGACTTCGGCTCGGGTCATGATCTCCCGGTTCATGAGTGAGTTCAAGCCCCACATCAGGCTCACTGCTGTCAGTGCAGAGCCTGCTTCAGATACTCTGTCCCCCTCTCTCTGCCCCTCCCCCACTGCGCTCTCTCAAAAATAAACATTAGGGGTGCTTGGGTGGCTTAGTCGGTTAAGCGTCCGGTTCTTGATTTTGGCTCAGATCATGATCTCACAGTTCATGGGTTTGAGCCTGGCATCGGACTCTGCACTGACAGTGGGGGAGCCTGCTTGGGATTCTCTCTCCCTCTCTCTGCCCCTCCCATGCTTGCACTCTCTCGCAAAATAAATTTTTAAAGTTGAAAAAATAAATAAAAAATAAAATAAACATTAAAAAGAGAGAGAGCAAATAGAGGGAAAGTGACTAGAGCTATGGTACAACAAATCCTGGGGCTGACAGGACAGTGGCAGGGGCGCAGTGTATAGTGAACTTTTACTCTGCAGTAATAATAAAAACGAAGTGCAGTGTACTGGTATCTTTATGCCTGTTAATTCCTTCACTCCTGTCTCTCAGCAACCCATGATGTGGATATTCATCTTCTCATTTCATGGCTCAATGAAATAACCTTCCTAAGGTCCAGTGCCAGTAAGTCACAGAGCTAGTATTTGAACTTGGTCTGACTCCAACACTGATACTTGGGCCTCTGTCAGCACTGTTCTTTCTTGTCCATGCAGCTTTTATTTTTATTTTTTATTTATTGATTTATTTTTAAAGTTTGCTTATTTTGAGAGAGAGAGAGAAAGAGAGAGAGAGAGGGTGCAAGCAGTGGAGGGGCAGAGAGAGAGAGAGAGAGGGTATCTCAAGCTGGCTCCACACTGTCAGCACAGAGCCTGACGTGGGGCTCAATCTCACCAACTGTGAAATCATGACCTGAGTTGAAACCAAGGGTTGGTTGCTTAACTAACTGAGCCACCCAGGTGCCCCTCCTGGCCATGCAGCTTTTAGACAGCATTTTGAGACACAGCTGATCTGAAAAGGTGATCTGCATTACAATTACAAACTTGTTTTTTAGACAAGAAACAGATAAAAATATTTGGAGAGATTGATAGAAATAAAGCCTTAAGAAATTTATTTTTATCTTTATTTTGGTAGAAAGATTGTAGAAGCAGACAAAGGAGGAAAAACTTACTCAGAAAAAATAAGCAGATCTACGACTCTGGTAGAGAAGAAAATATGAATTGAGAAACAGCAGAGTAAGGGCAGTTACCAAAGCAGGCTGGTTCTGTAGCTTGCTGAAACCAAGAGACTGGCAGCTAAAGAGTGTCACATTTTTAAGAGCCTTCTATCCTTAATAACCTTTTTTTCCAACTTATTTTATCACCATTACTTCCACTAGCAAAAGAAGACCCTACTAGATTATTCTGAATCACAGTCAGAATACTGAGAATTTGAAGGAGACCTCAGAGTATCTGGTTTAGTACTCAGAGTTTTGAGCAGACAGGAGGGAGCCCCTCTGCACAAAATCCTACGATGTATTCCGAACAGAGCTGGTAGCTGAACAGTTCCTCTTATTCCAGTCTGAGGGTTCTTCGTACCATACTTCAGGGACTTCATTTGTAGAAGTGTCCATTACCCTGCATTTTCAGTTAGACTTTAACTGGATGCCAGCCCTTAATTTCTGAGCTCCTCCTAAGCTGATTTTCCATTTAAGCAGTGTCCTGCTGGTCTCTGCCAACACACTGCCCTGTGTGGCCATTTCTCTTGGAGCAAAAGAGCTGGATCCACTCTGTCTGTGTTTTGGCTTCCTCTCTTGAGGAAGGCTTATCAAAAGAGTGTGTCCTTCTCCTATTCCTGTAGAAACCAGGCTAAATTGATCCCTTCCCTTCCTTACTAGTAAGGCCATGCCCCGCCTCCACGGAAGAGGAACAACTGGGGCCCAGATGCCAAGCACCTACACTTGAGAGAATTTTCCCTTTTGATGTCACAGCTGACATCGGTGCTTCTCATTCTCTCTGGTCGTCAGGCCTGCACCCTCCACCTGCCCCCTTCTCGTCGTCTCTGTGCTCTGGTCCCCGCAGATCCTCTGGTCCTGACCTCCTTTATCCAGATGAGGAAATAAAGCCCTTAGAGGTTCTGTGATTTTCCCAGAAACACACTGTGAGTTGGGGGCCTGACTGGGGTTGGAGCTCAGGCTTCGGATCTAACTGGTTAGGCCAGTGTTCCCTCCATCTGCAGCCCTATTCTGCTCAGCACTCACTGGGTGTATCTTAGCCAAAAGAATGACTGAATTTGCTTAAACATAATTTTTAATTTTTTTGTGGTGTTTATGTATATTTGTCTTTCATCAGGTCTTTAAATACTGATGTATTTAATGTATTAAATACATTCGATCCTGCAGCAAACTTCGTTTGTGATGTGGTATACTTGACTGGTTTGTTCATTCTCACCGGTTCAGGTTGGATTGAGATAGACTCCCCCATCTCCTGACTCCAGCTGGCCCAGCACCCTACATGGCCAGCTTCTCACTTTGTCTGAAGGACTTAGATCTCAGCAGTATAAATTTTCCTACCAAGAAGTACCAAATCCATAGTTCCCCTGTTTTCTGCTGTCCTTTAACATGACTTCCTGGGGCTCTTGCTGACCTGCAGCTCTTATTCCCACTTCCCTGTTACCAGCCTGTTGCAGAGGCGAAGATTCCTGAGAAGCGGGCCTCCCCATCCAAGCCGGCCTCTGCCCCAGCGCTCAGGCCTGGCGCCAAGAGCACCCAGACTGTTCCAAAAGCCACAGCAGCTGCCACTCCTGCCTCAGCTGGGCCAAGCAGCAGGAGCCCCCCCACACCTGTGCCCAAGAGGCCCACCAGTGAGTACTGTCACCCTTCCTTCCCCCGGGAACCAGTGGGGAGACAGGAGAGATCTGTCTCTGTGCACTAGACCTTAACGGGGAACACTGATCTTCACATGCAGTTAGCCAGTATGTCTGTTCAGAAAACTCTTGAGTGAAAGGGATTCTCATGAATTCCCAGGTAGGATTACTATTCCCTTCTTAGTAACTTCACATTACTCAGCACACTGTGGTCATGGGCTTACATGATAGGAAGTCAGTTGTTCGGTTCCGCAGGCCTGTACTGGTAACCCACTTCCAAGGCCGTGTGGAAGGCACTGTTAAGATTGTAGAAAAGAGTAAGGATACAGTGCGTGGCCTTTTGTACTCCATAAGGGCCCAGTCTTTACCTGGCTGTCTAATTTACTCTTAATCTATTCCAGAGACGAGCACAGCCCATGGCCCAAAGGGGACATTCAGTAGTTGTTGAATGAATGAATGAATGAATGAATGAATGAATCTCAGTACTGGATGAGCCATTCACTAGGTCACTTTGTTAAACATTAAATAGTAAAAAGTGTTATGTTTGTGCAGCCATCAAGACTGAGGGAAAGCCTGCAGACATGAAGAAGACGGCCACGAAGTCTGCACCAGGTGACACCCGTCCCCCACCTCCTGGGACCCTAATTTAAACCCCTACCTCTTTGCAGCTTCCAGGCTCCCTTCTGCTCTCTCCCGCTGAACCCCTGTCATCTCTTACTTCTTTGCAGCTGACCTGAGTCGCCCCAAGAGCACCTCCACCACTTCAGTGAAGAAGAACACCACTGTCCCTGGGGCAGCCCCCGCAGCAGGGGTGGCCCCCGGCCGAGCCAAGCCCACACCCACCCCTCCTCGGCCCTCTGGGACTCCTTCCTCGGACAAGAAGCCCACGTCAGCCAAGCCCGGCTCCTCTGCACCGAAGCCTAGCCGCTTGTCTACCAACGCTTCCACCCCTGATCTGAAGAACGTCCGCTCCAAGGTTGGCTCCACGGAAAACATCAAGCATCAGCCTGGAGGAGGCCGGGTGAGTCCTGGAGCTCGTGGTCCTTGGCATGCTAGCCCTTGCTTCCCTCCCTGCCACGCCACACCCCTGGGCCCACCGAAGCAGAAGGGTTGTCATGACGTCGGATTCAGTGTCACAGACTTGCAGCCTGGGCTCCACGTCCATCCGGCAGCAGACTGTCTCCTCCCGTCTCTATCAGGGGGGCTCCTGGTGTGGATTTTGGGCTTTAGGCTTACGTTTTGGTTTGGAGGCAAAAGGGTTCTTGTACTTAACAAAACAAACAGGGAAGCCCTGGCCTGTGAGACCTGCTGGCTGTGCTCCCCACCCCTGTGCTGTGAGCATCAGGACCTGACCGGCAGGAGGGGGAACCTGGGCTTGGGAGAGGCATGTCTGCCTGAAAGAAGTTAGGGTGCCCCCTTGTGGCCGGGGTGACTGCACGCTGCAGGGAAGAAGGGCTGTCAGAAGGGCTGTGGTGGGGAGTGCTGTTGAGGGCCAGGTGCTTCACTCTTAAGGATTTTCTGTTTACATCCACCGCAGAATTGTCAGCTATTAGCAGGGATGGGACCTGGTGTAGCAAACGGTGGTGGCGAAAGTCCCAGTTTGGGTCCATGGAGCAGTAACCTCATTTCCTATGTGATTCTCTAGCACTTAAGACACCACACCTCCCATTCAGGGTAGGATCCTTAAATTTCTTCAACCCTAGAGCCTTTAAAACATTGAACAGGGCCCAGAATGAGGCAGAATCCTGGTACTGTTGGAAGACACTAATGGCAAACTGGGATTAGTCTGGAATAAGGGCCTAAGAGTTGCTTTTGCTAAGAGGCTGTGGCTCTGGTGTACCCAGATGGTGTGACCATCCCCCCCTTCCTGTGCTCTTCTTATGCTTTCGTTGGGCAAAAATTGCAGGAGGTCTTGGTGAGGAGTTGGGTGACTTGGCCTGGTGAGTGGTGTGACACTTCCTGTCATCAGTAGTGGCTCCTGTGACTACAGCAGCTTGCTTGAGGGGGAGGACATTTGAGTGGGGGAGCACTGTGACTGGAAAACACACTCTCGGAAGAGAATCCCTAACTTAGCCCTCCTTCCCTCCTTCTCTCCGGGAATGGTGTCTCGATCTTGTCCTCATGTCTCCAGACTATGGTCTGCAGCTCCTCCTTCTGGCTGGTTTGTCCCGGGAAACGGTTTGTTCCTAGGAGCAAGGGTGACCTGCTTCTGCTTGGTGGCCTGGCCTGGATTCGAGTCCCCTATAGCTTTCTTCCCTTCTTGGCATTTGGGCTCTTACCCTCTTGGTTTGAAATTTGCCCTCCCTTTATCTCCATCCAGGCCAAAATAGAGAAAAAAACAGAGGCAGCTGCTACAGCTCGAAAGCCTGAACCTAATGCAGTCACTAAAACAGCCGGTCCAATTGCGAGTGCGCAGAAACCACCTGCTGGGAAAGTGAGTTTTATTTAGACTTTTACCTCTTGAAGGTGAAAGATGATAAACTGTTTCTTCCAGCCTGAGTCACTTTCCCTTCTATCGCACTTTTTTCCTATCCTTAACCAGTTTCTACTTCGCCCCCGCATTCCCTCCTCTCCGTTTGATGACTCAGCCATCAGAAAAAAGTTTTGTATTAACCCTGACAGTTAACAGATTTGGGAGCCCATTACCCTTTGGGGAATATTTATTCAGCTGGAAAAAATGGATCCAAAAATTTTCAGCCACTTCCTTCACACTGACCTTGATGTGAAACCCACCCATTTTGTGTGCAAACACACACACAGCACCCATGTTCTTCCTCAGTAAAACATGGGATTGGTTACTCTGCTGCGCCTGGAACCCTGGAGCCCTGGTGCTTGTAATTGAACTAGAAGGCCCCTTTCGTAACCTGCTGGTTATGGAGATAGCTTTATTTGCCCTGGTTCCCCATGTCACCTCCTCACTGAAAGTTTAGGTGCTCGTTCCCACTGGAAGCCCGCTCAGCCTAGGGATTGCATACCACCGGCAGGGCACAGGTAAACAGAAACTCTAGGTTCTTTCCTCTTGCCTCCACACCCTGGAAGCAGGCCCCTCCTGCTTGCTGTGAGAACCTTCTTTTAGCTGTGGCAGGTAGGTCATCTGTCCATCCAGGGACTGCCAGAGAAGCCGTAACCTCCAGCCCTTAGGGACCAGGATGGACAGTCTCAGTGCAAGGAATTTGTACCTTCGGTGAGGCTTCTGGGTGACTCCTAGAGGCCCTGGAGGTCTCTGGTTCAGAGCAGGGTTTCACTGGGTAGTGGTTTGCTGACCAGTTATTCATCACTGACATTATAAAGAAGGCACGAATCAGTGAGGTATTTGGGCTGGAATCTCTCAGGGTGGATTTCTCTGTTCAGTGGAAAACTCTTCAGCTTGGGGCCTGCTTCATTTGTGAAGGGCTCTGAAGCAAAGGAAGGAAGGAAGCTGGCAACTGTTTCTCCTTGGGAAGGCTCAGAAAGAATTCTTTGTTCCAGCCCTTAGAGCCTGGGCCTTTGTGTGGCCGCATTCCAGGGAGAGCCATTCATAAACACGACAGTGTGCCTGTGCATCATTGCAGCCCTGCTTGGAGGCGGTTCTCTCTGCGCATGAAACTCACAGGGCACAGGACTGGGCATCTGGAGGATGGAAGAGGTGTTTTACTGTCGAGCTGAAAAAAAAGTCTAGACCAGAAGCTCACTCTGGTCCTGTGCTTTCTCGAGCCCCCAGACGCACGGGCTGCTACTTGTGGAGTGTGGAGCTGCTGAGGCCCGCGCTCCCCCTGGTGTCCGGATTCTGCATGGTGGCTCCAGCGGCCTCTGGCCCATCTGCATTTATAACTGAGCTATGCTGTCCCTTCCTTCCTGTAGCATCAGATCTGTGCCCTGTGAGCCAGCTGCCCAGCACTTCTCTGAGCAGCCGTTGCCTCCCCGAGTGGGTCTGGCTGCTGCAGTTCCCAGCCTCAGATTTAAGGGAAGTGCCAAGCTTCAGCGAAGACCAGTCCGGATAAGCAGGATCCTTGCAGAGAGCAGTCCCAGGACACTGTGTCTCAGCTCTCAGGGAGAGCAGGCGGGAGCGGGGCCATGCCTGAGTGCGCATCTGGGGCCTGCAGCTGGCTGGGCCTTGTGCACCATGGCCCAGCCCCAAGGAGCAGTGATGAGGCCCAGCCCCAAGGAGCAGTGATGAGGACCGTGGAGCCCTTTTGCGATATGTGCTTCTGTGCTCGTGTTGTTCGTTCACGTCTTCGCTCCCTGTCCTGCCACTTCAGATTCCTTCCCCTGTGCTTTTCCACAGCTGCTCTCCTGCAGGCGGGGGCGGAGTTGTAACGGCACCCTGTGTCAGTCATTGTGATCACGTGTGGACTCACTGCCTGCCCTGTGTCGGTTCTAACCAGCCCTCTCCCTTTGTGTTGTTTTTTTCTGTTCTCTAACACTCCAGGTCCAGATAGTCTCCAAAAAAGTGAGCTACAGCCATATTCAGTCCAAGTGTGGTTCCAAGGACAATATTAAGCATGTCCCTGGAGGTGGTAATGTAAGTATGAGCTCTGGGCAGCTGGTGTCTGAGCCGTAGCCCCGTGGGGCACCGGGGAGAGGGCCGCTTGCGCTCCCAGGACCACAGCAGCCTGGCTCGGGGCTTTCTTCCAGACACAGGCCAGCAAAGTGAGAGGAGGCTCAGTGCTCCTGTGTGTTAGGACCAGCTGTTTCTGGGGAACCCCTGACCAACACCCTGGTGATGCCCATTTGGCATCTTTTCTCATCTTCTCTTTCCCTTCTGCTCTCTTTCACCCACTTTCCCCTGTTCTGAGTCCTTCTTCCTCTTACTCCCTCAGCCCCTCCTTTTCTTTTTGTCCCCTTCCTCCATCCATCCAGACAACCTTTTATCACGCTGCCCTTCTGTGCCAGCCCTACGCTCTGTGTTGGGGGCACAGTGACTCCAGCTAACAGGCCCTGGTCTAATGTTAGAGAACACTCTGTTCACCTTCCACGTGTCCTCGTGGCAGTACTCAGGCAGGTGGGACCCCAGCATGCACCAGAGGTGTGTTATGGAGAGGCCACATGCAGCCTCTGCCTTCGTGGCTTCTCCCCTGCTTCTCTCCCCACCCCACAGTCAGGGAGCTCATCCTGCTCTGTCTCTCTAGGTTTCATTCAGTTCCTTCTCCTTACTGTCTTAAACTGGACTGAGTTCTGCTCTGCTCACCCTTTTCATTTTCGGCCTCTGTCCCCCCTGTCCCCTCAGTGGCCATGCCATCCTGCCTGTGGCTTACAAACACTCCCCAGCCCGGTGGTCGTATTGTGAGGAATCAGCCTCAGGTTAGCCCTGTCTTGCCCCACACAAGGCCCCTTCTTGCACCTCCTTCCCAGTCACTTTGCACCAGTGGCTCTTCTAACGTGGGTAGAAAGCGCACTCTTGACGTGGAGGTGGGGCGTACTCGGCCGGCCTGGTAGCTGGCCAGACGTTAGCCAGCCTGGTGTGCGATGAGCTGAAGTGGGTGAAGCGTTTAAAGACAGTATCTGGTTAAGGTGATAAAGATCCAGCTTATGAGGGCCCCAGGTAGGCACCGGCCTCAGCTTTTCCTTTCAGGCTTTTGACCTAGGTGAGAACAGGAGGTGAGCAGAGATTATGAAGGAACTGGTCATTGTGTGTGTGACACAGAAATACATTTGTGTATAGTGTGCAGTTTTATGTACAAGCTAGGAAAATAGACATGTATTTTTTTTTCAAAGTTTGTTTTGAGAGAATGCGGTAGAGAGCACACATGCACAAGTGGGGGAGGGGCAGAAAGAGAGGGAGAAAGAGGATCCCAAGCAGGCTTCGCACTGTCTGCACCGAGCCCAACTCAGGGCTCGATCTCCCGAACCATGAGATCACGACCTGAGCCAAAACCAAGAGTTGGACGCTTAACAGACTGAGCCCCTGGGCACCCCAAAATAGACATCATTTATCTATCACTTACTGTGGTCTTGGCACATTGCCTACATGTGACTTCCAAGATTTTTTTTTAAGCATTGTATTGTAGGAGGCTTCCTTAAGCAGCCTCTCATTCGGAAACCTGCCTGTGAGCAGTGTTTCCAGGTGGGGAGATGAAGGTAGACGGCCTTGACTGAGGGGCCATACTTGTTTCCCTCAGCCCCTCCATAAAGCCACCACAGATAGACACGCAGCTGAGAGAGTGGGCCCGCTGGCACAGGTAGAACAGCGTCACACGTCACCCGCAGACCCCATCCCCTCCTGTATAGAAATTCTGAAGTTAGCACCCGGATGAGAGGCTGGAGCAGGGTCCCAGTTAGTGCTGCGCGGCGCCCCCGTGTACATACAAATGTCCCCTTTTTTGAGAACCAGGAGGACATCAGGGCAGGGCACGTAGCAGATTTCCCCCAGTTTAAAATTTTGTGACAGTTTTTCTTCCATTCCACCCCCGTGAGGGGGGATATGTGCGCGTCATGGGTTCTGAGGCCTGGGGGCACTGCCATCTCAACAGCCCGTACTGCTGTCCACAGCAGCCCGCGGGTCCTCACAGGCCAGTGGGGCGGATTGCGGAAACGGCTGCAGCGAGGTTGAGGTACCGTGCTTGCCGGGGTTGGTGTATGGGAAGAGGACCACGGAGACAGGCATGGCTTCTGCTAGCTGCCGGGCTTTGCCGGGGAGAGGACCTTTGAGAAACACGTCATAGGCCAGAGAAGCAGCACGTGGCTCCCTAAAGCTTTGAGTGGAGGCGAGTGGCCAGGGGAGGGAAGGAGGGGAGGATTGTTTGGCAGTTACTATGGATTCTCTACATACCAGCCCAAGAAGGCAGAGTGACATCTCAGAGGTGGTGGGTTAAGTGAGGGGGACACAGTTCAGCTTTTTAAAACGGTTAATCATAGGCATTTTTCAAATACATGCAAAAGTAGAAAAGAATCCTACAATGTACCCAGCTTCATTTATTATCCTTGTGGCCAATCATTTGTTTGTTTTAAATTTTATTTATTTATTCTGAGTGATTTCTACACCCAACTCACAACCCTGAGATCAAGAGTCACAGGCTCCACTGACTGAGCCAGCCAGGCGCCCCTCCTTGTAGCCAATCTTATCTTCTGTGTGTTCCCACCCTGATTATTTTGAAGCCAGTCCTAGATACATCATTCATCTGTAAATATTCCATTCATAACTTTAAGATAACTCTTTAATGTACGTGTGTAAAACCCCTACTGACACTCAGGATACAAGTAGGGACCATAAATTGTGGTTGGTTGATGCGTCTCTTGTCTCTTATAACCTTCGGTTTCTTTTACTCTACAGGCACCCTTCAGTTTTTGTTTGTAGCAGCACTTTATAAATGAGTAAACTAAGTGGTTTATCCTAGAATCTGGCTTCTGCTGCATATCCTCGTATTTTGATTTAATATACTCCTTTGTCTCTCCATATCTTTAAATTGATTCAGGTTTGATTTTTTTTCTCCCCCAGCTCTTTGCAAGACTTTTATAGGTAGTGGTGGTGTTTCTGTCAGGAGGCATATTGTGTTTCACTGTCTGGTCCCCCCACCCGCCCCCACTCTCTGATGGCCGGTACCTAGACCCACGCGTTGAGTAGGGGTATACTATGGTGAGGCTCGAGTTCTCCCATTCCTTCTTCATTTATTGGCTGGGATACATCCGCAAAGCAGAATTTCCCCTGATCAACTATTCTTTACCTGAGAACCAGGCAGGAGGTAGAGAAGCAGTGGCTTCGGTCGCAGAACAGTCTCAGGAAATGTGCAGGCCCCAGGCCTTGGAGGGTGACCCCTGGAACCCCTCCCAGGTGTCTCAAGGGTGGCACAAGATGAGCCTGCCACCATTGCTGCAGGACACGTGTTGTCTTGGTCTCAGTAGCTGGCAGATGTTTGGTTGGGAAAAGTACTTCCCTGTGTCCCTGTTGGGAGAATTGTGGCCTTGTTGGAAATGTGAGGCAAAGTGGAGGCTGTTGTGTTGAGATGGTAATTGTACTTTGTAAATGATTACTGAACGTGGAAGCAGTCAGTGTCCTGCTGAACCTGATGTCCCTCCAAAGGGTGGAGTGAAGCCAGAGCCTTTGAAGAAGGTGACCTTTGAAGGGCTTTGAAGGATGGGGAGGAGAATGCAGTGGGCTTGCTTGGCTAGGGAATAGTATGAGCAGAGTTCTGGAAACAGTGAGGATGGCTCAGGCAAGCTGATGATTATGGGAAGTTACTCTGTGCCAGGCCTTGGGCTGTGAGTGGACGTAGAACGATGCAGTAGACATCACATGTATCCTCTTGCAATACGATGGAAACCGTATTTCCTGACACTGGAGAAAGGAAGACGGGGTCCTAGAAGGTAGCCATTGAACGGCACTGTGATGAAACCCCACCAGAAGGGCATGACACCTGCCGGCAGGGCCCCGTGGGCCACCGCATGAAGGACTTGATTGTGGCGGAAAGCCAGGCTCTTCCACAGAACCAAGGAGCGGCTGGGCCACTCACGGGAACTGTGGTATTTTCATCCCAGAGCCCAGTGCCCCTCTATAGATGACGTCCTTTCCTAATTTAAACACATGCCATCAGTCGTGGTAGCAAGATGTTTTTCCAAGGCTCCTGGGGGGCAGACCTAGATGAAAGTCCGTTGGCCACCTCAAAAGTAGGGGCAAGTGTAGAGGACACCCAGACAAGTCTCCATCCCCAACGGGATTCATTTGTATAAAAGGCCATTCATCCTCTTGATTGCTCACCAAATGTGGACAGGATGGCAAATCTGTGAAAGGCCTCGTGGAGCCTGTAGTTGTGCACAGTCGCGGCAGATGTGGAACTCCAGGCTACCGTGCTGGGCCCATCGTGCAAATGCTTAGTATCCTTAATAATGAGCAGAGCAGCCAAGACTGGGCCTCTTTCACGTATAAATCAGCACAATTTTGTTGGCGGTGGGGTTTCTTGTTTTCACTTTTATTTGCATTTATTTTATGCAGAATTTACTCCCGGGCCGTAAGTTTTTGTTCCTTCAGTCTCTTCTGGGGTATCTTTTTTTTTTTTTTTTTTTTTTTTTTTTTTCTGTGCAACTTCCTCTTCTGGTTTAGGAATAATCTGCTCTTTTCCAGTAAGGATCGTCTCTCACTGTGGCAATCTGACCATGAGCCCTGTTAAGTTCTACGCCACATCTTGGGTGCTTTGTTCACCTGGATGTGCAGTGACCAGAGGATCTACATCTAAACCCCTAAGTTCAGCAGTACTCTCTGCATTTTTAAGCATGTGCAGTAAAATTACACACTCTCTTTGGGCCACTGACGCTGTGTCCAGCCCCGCTGTTAGGCCTGGGCACACCACTGTCTCCACCATTGTAGCAACAGAATGGCACACGTTGCTTTTGCAAAGTGACATCATTCAGTTACTTTGTGGCATTTCAGATACATGCATTCTTGATGGCCTGGGCAGTGTTTCACATGTGTTCTTAAATTGAACATGAAGAGTTGAACCTCTTGTGTGATTTTGTAGGTCAAGTAAATAGCGAACTGTTTTCAGAAATCACCTTCAGCCACTCACGGGAAGAGCGTTGTTGTTGTTTTTAATGGGAATAGCCAGGGCTGGGAGGATATGGAGACAAACCACGTAAGCTCTCTCGTGGGGGTCCGTTGTCACATTCCTGGAAACCCGGCCTTGTGCTTCAGGAACCTTAAAACAGTCCCAACCTTTGACCGGGTAACTGAAGTTCTGGGCATTTTGCTTGAGAGGTCATCAGAATTGCCATGACTTCTGTTCACAAAGATATTTATTGCTGCCAGAGTTTTAATGGTGAAAAATTAGAAAAACAAACAAACAAACAACCTTAAATGGTCCCTATCTGGCATAGGTTAGGTTTATATAAGATCTTACAGAATGGATTATGTGGCCCCTTCTTAACATTTCCCAACTTTTATGGGGAAAATGCTTATAAAAAATCATAGACACATACGTAGAAATCTGTGCTGTCAGCCATGAGGGGAAAATGCACTGAAATGAACTAAGAGGAAAACACCAAAACATCATTCCAGGTTATCTCTGGGCCAGGAATTGATGGGTGAGATTTCAGGTGGAAGAAGAGGACATTTCAGGAGATGGGGGTCCAGAAAAACCTGAGAAGAGCTGCCTGGCAGGCGCCCGGACAGGGTGGGAACATTGTGGAGCGTGTGGGAACGTTGGTTCAGTCTGGCAGGAGGTGAGTTCAGAAGCTGCAGGGGCAGCAGGATGGATGAAGCGTTGGTTTAAGCACTTGGGGAGGTGAGCCTGACCTTGAGCAGACTGAGGTAGGGCCTTACACAGGGAGAGAAGAAACTTGAACGTGGAGATTGTCAAGGGAACACAGGTTTGGCCCTGAAATATATCCTCTCTCTGAGGCAATAATATTTTGTGGTTTATTTCTCAGGTTCAGATTCAGAATAAGAAAGTGGACATCTCTAAGGTCTCCTCCAAGTGTGGGTCCAAGGCTAACATCAAGCACAAACCTGGTGAGTGCAGTCCCCTGCTTCCCCCAGGGTGCCTGGGCCTCGCCTGGGCTGGGTCTCCCTGCTGTGCTTTTGTCATTCCATAAAGATTCCTGGGGGAGGGGCATCCCCCCACCCGCCCCAGGCGCTAACCTCTTAGGCGCATCCGGAGGAGCGGGTGGTAAAGGCTGCTGTCCCCACGGGCATCACCGCACCCCTACTAGCGCGCGCCGGGGGCGCCGTTCGACTGCGGGCGGTGGATATTCCCAGGCAGTGACGCACCAGCTGTGAGCTCCCGCAGGACAGAGTCGTTGGGTAGCGCTGCCCAGGCCGCGGGTGAGGCTCTTGCTGCTGGGGCGGTGTGACTTCCTCCTGGCGGCGTGCTCCCGCCTCCACTGTCATCCCCTACAGCCGCGTGTCCTGGTTCTGGGTGACAGTAGACCAGGGCTAGGGCACTTCCCCTGCAGCGGCAGGCACGTGGCTGGCAGATCTGTCTCCTTGGAGGTCAGGCGCCAGGGGCCACTTAAGGTGAAGGCAAGGAACTCTCGGCAGAATGTGTTCTGTTTAAAAGGGTCAGAACAGTTTGGCCCTTAACTCACCTCATCTCCCCCCTTTAATCTGGAAAATCCACTCTTGCGCCATGCCACCTTCCCCGGTGCCGCTGACTGACCCCGAGGCTGGGTGTTTCGGCGGTGGGGAGGGGTGGGCAGGAGCGTAGGACAGCTGGCCAACTTGGCACAAAGCCGGGTGCTCTGGTTTGTGACGCGGGCCTCCGGAGGGGTGGGCCTGGGAGAGCAGGGCAGCCCCACATCCTGTGGCCACACTGTGGCCGTGAGTCCTGAACCTCGCCCTTGTGCACTGGCCGCCCGAGCGCGCTGGGCCCCGGGGCTGGTCCGGTCCGTGCCTGTCCTTTCTCAGCTCGGTGCCGGGACTACTCCCACCTCTCCTCCTTTTCCTCCACGACAGAGAAGCCTCTTTCCATTTGCCTTCTCTTCACTACAGTGTGGCTCATGCAGCAGCACAGACAGACCCCGCTGCCACCCTACCTCTGGCCATCGCCAGCCTGGCGGTGACTTTGGGCAAGTCACTCCTCTTGTCCAGCACCCGCTCTGGCGGCTGTAAAACAAGGGTCCTGACCCTGCCGGACAGGGCGTTCCTGCACTGCACGGAAGCGGGCGCTCTGCGCCACCCAGTCAGGGGGTCGTGACGTTGGCTAGAGAACCCGAAGCAGACACCATCTCGGCGCCTCTAGAGGCTTGGCTGGAGGCTGTGCTGCGGGCCTGCGGTGGTGCTGAGGGTGCCTTTCTTCTCTGTGGAGGTGTTGCCGCTGGCCGGATGCAGACTGTCAGCCCAACTTTGAGAAGACTAGCCCTGTTTGACAAACATGTCCACTGTCCTTTCCTCCTCCTCTGTGCTCAGAGCCACGTTCCCCATTTCTGTATTGGGCACATAGCCAGTCCTCGGCCCAGCTAGGATTCCTGGTCCCACCTCCTGGCTTTGCCTATGTGACCGGTTGTATTTTGGTACCAGGTGGAGGAGATGTCAAGATTGAAAGTCAAAAGTTGAACTTCAAGGAGAAGGCCCAGGCGAAGGTGGGATCCCTCGATAATGTGGGACACCTGCCTGCAGGAGGTGCCGTGAAGGTAGTGAGTGGGTCACCAGGGGGACACGGCTTGGGCCGGGTGGGAGGGGTTATGCAGCCGGAGTCTGGGTCCCAGGTACTGGGCGCCTGTCACCGCCCCTCAGTATCTTCAGGAGTCTTGTGTCACCCACACCATTGTGTTTTCCCAGTGTCCTTCATCAGTCCTGAGTGAGGCAGGAGAGGTAAAGAGGCCCCAACCCAGCTGCCTCTCACCTGTCCAGCTGGAGACAGAACCTCTCCTAACAGCCATGGCCCTCCTTACTTTTTGAGCCCATCTCAGCCATTTCCAAGGGGACTATGGGCTGGGGCACAGACTCCCACAAAGCACGGTTCTCCCCAGCTACCTCATGAGGGGGTCCAGGCTCCATGCCGGGCTCCATTCTGGGCCTGCTGGGAGCAGGATGCCACATTTGCAACTCCTGGTGACACCTGCCTCTAGAGGGACTGCCATGGCCAGGGCTCAGGTGGGCAGGACTTCCCATCCTCTGGACTGGCTGGGCCTCTCCTCCCTTCCCTCCCTGTCTCCTTCCCTCCCTCCCTCCTTCCATGGCACTGTGAGACCTTTGTGTGCCAAGATGTTGTCTGTCCTTCGTTCTGTGTTGGGCGGTTGGGGGGGGACACAGGGGGCGGCACCTTGCAGGCTTCTGTGCATGACCACAGCTGCAGCTGCTCAGGGGAAGGTGAGCCAGGGAGAGGGACACAAGAGCAGCGGCTGGGGCCTTCGCTTCTACATCTGATGCCTAGCCCAGCCTGTGTCCCCTCTTCCCTCCTTCCCTCGGTGCTCCGGTTCAAGGCCTGACTGGCTTCTGTGAATGTGTGGGGTCCTGGCTCTGTCACAGGCTCCCAGTCCACGCCTCCATACCTTTGAGGAGCCACTCCCCAGTCTGTCCTCCGGGGGCCCTAACTCAGATGTAGTCGCTAGTCCAAAGCCACATGGCAAGTACGTGTAGACCAGGGTTTACACCTGCACCTTTCTGACCCCACGTCTTAAGTTCTTTTTTTTATTCACATCATCTCCCTTAATTATTTCTGGAATTGTCTTTCTGATACAGAGGCCCGTCTCCTTCACTGTTCTGATTAGAAACCACTGTAGAGTCTTCCATTGCCACCTTTTGGGTGTTCTGGGGCACGGGTGGCCTCCCACTGGCCTCCCCTCTTCTGTCCACCCCATCCTCCTCCCGCAAAGCCCTGCAGGCCCCGAAGTCTCCCTGGTCCCCCCCTCCCTGGACCCCTTCCTCCCTCCTCTGTGTCCCCAGGCTCCGGAAGGGTGCCCCGCACAGAAGAGGTCTCGGTGTCTGGGGAGGGGTAGATGAGCAGGCAGGGCTCATGAGTTCCCAAGAGAGCCCCTTTAGCACCCGCTCTCTGGTGGGTGTGGTCTGGGACTCATTGGTCCTGTCCGAGGTGGTGAGCTGCACCCCTTGGGAACTGACTCCCAGCTCCCAGAGCTCCTTAACTGGCCTGCAGCACCCCCGCTTCCCGACCGATTCCAGACCCGCTGTCTAGAGAGCGTTCCCAGGGTTTTTGCCAGTGATCAGGTGTCACGGCTGTTTGGTGTCGGCCTTGCTGAGAAGCCCGCACCTCTCCCCTCAGAAAGACCGCATGAAACCGTGCACTCCACAGAGGAGCCCCCCAGGGTGTGTCACTAGCCAGGCTGCATGCTGGGCCCGAGGCTGTGTTCTTGCCCTACACTGGCCGCCCAAGCCAGGGGTCCTCTCACAGGCAGAGTAGGGGTGGGGAGTACCTGGTTTAGAGTCTCCAGATGACTGTGCCTAAATCCAGTGGCCGGGGAGGGGTGGCGGGTGGGCAGGGAGGGGCTGTGTGTAAAACCCACCATCACCCATCCCACCTCCTCCCCGACTGACCCTACACTGTCTCCCCCACTGTTTCATTGTAGACTGAGGGCGGTGGCAGCGAGGCCCCTCCGTGTCCGGGCCCCCCCGCTGGGGAGGAGCTGGCCAGCCCTGAGGCAGCGCCCGAAGCTGGCGCCCCCACTTCAGCCAGTGGCCTCAGTGGCCACCCCACCCTGGCAGGGGGTGGTGACCAAAGGGAGGCCCAGACCTTGGACAGCCAGATCCAGGAGACAAGTAAGTGGCTGGGCTTGGCCTGAGGGCCAGCCGGGGGCCCTGCCACTGTTTGCAAATTGAAACTCCTTTTTTTTTTTTTT